TTGTTACTTAACAAAGAAAAACTTCGATACGGTGATGTTCTGTAAGGAGGTGTTTGTGGAAGGAGTCTCTTTGTAAAAGCGCTTTGTAACAATCTGAGGTAAAGCTGTAAGTAAGTTTTCTGACACAGGAGAAAGGAGTTTGTTGTTTTTTTTAGTAACAGGACAAGCTGCGTTTTTTGTTTTTCATTAATTCAAGAGAGAACAGTAACTCAGGCCGCATCAAACCACCGTGTCGTTGATGATTTTCTCGTATCAACATGACACAAGGTGCTTTATTGTGGTTTGGGGTTTCATTTACGCGTGAGGGAACCTGCTAGAATATTGTTTTAAAGTGGACTTGTTTTAAAGAGAGTCACTTTGACCACTCTCTGCACAAATCCCTGTTGCTTTCAGCCAATCAGACCTCACCATTCTGGATTTAAATGTCCGATAACTGACGGAATAAAAACAGATCTTGGTAAAACACCCAGACTTTTTTAGGAAGTCTCTTCAGTAGCCGAGTAACACAAAGCCATTATTATATATGTCGTTCAAAGTGTGATGTCATCATCCCCGTGTTTTTCCCAGCTTGCCGGAATGGAGGCGGGCTATGCCTGTTTCTGCGGCAACGAGCTTGACTACCATCTCCATGGTGACGCCCCCAGTTTGGAGTGTAGTCACGGGTGCTTCGGGGACCAGCAGCAGCCATGCGGAGGAGACGGACACGTCATCGTCTTCGACAGTGAGTACAGTCGGGTCGCGTCGGGTTTAATCCCGAGCTGTGGACAGGCCTGGATCAAAATAATGCAGTTGCAAATTCAAACTTTTGACTTTTTCTTTAAAAAAACAGAAGCAACTGCACTTAGTAGAGATTAAACAACACTGTGTGAAATGGGATAAAAAAATATTACTGTTGAAAAACAGCTGCAACATTTTAAGTCCAAAATTATTGAAAATAATTAAAAAAAAAAAAATAAAAAAATACAGGAGTTGTTCAATTTATTTTTTTTATTCTTATTAAAAACATTTTTTTTTTTTTTTTTCAAAACAAAAGGTTTTTTTCCTACTTGATTAGACCTTTTTGTGTAGAAAGTTTAGAGACGTGCTGTCACCGTCAGCCATGTTGGATTGGGAGGAGCAACACTTGTTGGAGTAATAATCACCAAGGTTCATGGTGTGTATCAGTGGTTTGGAGGTGATTTACATCTTACATGTTTCCTTAAATGAACGGTCGACGGTCGTGAACACCGTACATGAAAGGATTAAGGAAATTAAAGGCAATAAGCATCTTTTGCTTAAGAACTGAGAATGACGAACAATACAGGAAGCTGCTGGTTAAATGTAATGAGCTGGTTTGCAAATTTCGCGTCACAGTACTCGGATTTCAGTCTGGTTAACCGGAGACTACCGGATTTGACTACGAGTGTGGATCAGATCTAACCAGGATCCAGTGTGGATACAAGACACAAGAAATGATGAGCTGGAAAGGCCGAAAGCCAGGCTGTATGTTGTACAGTTTAAATTTATGTTATTTTTAAGCAAAAAAAAAAAAAAATCAGCATACACTCTAGGGCAATTAAAATATGCCAGTGGGTACAGAAGTGTTGCACATCATTCAGAATTAGATTTTTGGAAATGTGATGTCACATCACGTAAAATCTGCCATATTGGAATAAAACCAACATCCTGTAGCATCAGTTACATGCTACAGCTAGCTGTCATGAGGGGAAAGCTACTGTCGTGTCATTACTGTGTCAAAACCTGTTTCTTTGACCATCAAGGGGATAAAATAGACAACGGAATATCTAATATTTAAGTTTTCCAGCTCTATTCCAAAAAATCCACATTTTTAAACTTTACAGTTGGAATGGCATGTAAATGGACCATGTCTTTGTGTTTTTAGCCAAAGTGGGAGCATGTGGTGGAAACTACACGGCTGAATCAGCTGTAATCTACTCACCCGACTTTCCAGATAAATACGCACCCGGCCGTGTCTGCTACTGGACCATCCAGGTAAAAAATAAATAAATTACTTCTGAGTTTTTCAAGAACATTCTATTAAAAGATATGATCCATTTTTTAACTTACAAAAATACAAGAAGCGTTTACTTGGAGACAGTTGTGCTGTGTTTTTTGAAATTGCTGTTCTCTCCATTCTCTGCTTTTCCAGGTCCCGGGTGCATCAGTCATCCTCTTTAACTTCACTTTCTTCAACATCATGGACCAGGCGGATATGGTCGAGCTGCTGGACGGTTACACCAATCAGGTGGTGGCGAGGTTCGATGGGCGTAACCCACCGCGGGAAGTTGTTAACATCAGCACAGACTTTGTTATCCTGTATTTCTACTCAGACAGGACGAACGAGGCCCAGGGGTTCTCCATGATCTATGAAGGTACAGATCTTAAATATTAAATTCTGTCTTTCTTATGGGCAAAACTTTTCTGATTTTATTAAAGAGTATAACTTTTTTTTTTTAATTATAATGAGTATTGAATTCTCCATTGTTTATCAGGGTAAGGATTACAGTCATGTTTAAAATAAATATGAAAGAGTAGTGGGTGGATGTAGGAATGGATGGGTGGGTGAGTGGATGGATGGATAGATGGATGGACAGATGCCTATGTGATTGGATAGATAAATGAACGGAGGCAGAGGCTGATAGTGTACGATGCTCTGTGAGGAGCCATATTTGCATGAGTAGGTGCATTATGGTGTTTTCTGCCTTCATTCCACATTTACATAAAAACAAACAGCTGCCGATGCCTCGCACCAGGAATTTACCTGCGGATAGATAGATGAAGGGAAGCGCAAGAGAGAGAAACCACAAAATACTCAGTCAGTGCACATAGCTCGCAGTGAAAGTGTTCGTCAGATTCCAAGATGAAAAAAAAAAAACGATCCTGAGAGAACTGGAGCAAACATAACAGGACAAAAAGTTCCTCTACCAACTAGAGTTGTTTTTGTTTTGTTTTGAACCTGGAGTCCTGGGTATTAAATATTTTAATGGCACCTTGGGCCATTTCAGGAACTCCCTCCATCTCAGATATTGGACGAGTAGCAGTTTATCAATATTTAATCTAGCTTTGTTGAGGTTTATCAGGCTTCTGCATCTGAACCACAACAGCCTTAATAAATGGATCACTCTCAATAAAGCCGGAACAGCCGTGCCTTGATTGCAGTTTCGATTTTGAATAATGAGATTGAAAAGATTGTTCTGAGTAGAGAACAATCAAAATATAAAAAATTATGCTATGTAAGAGATAATGACCCACAAGTTGTCCTGATATCAGAAAATTAACGAATGAGACAAGTCCAGTATTTTCTGACATCAGTATGTATTTTGGGTCACTGTATAAACATATAGACGTAATTTGAAATTTAGCCACATATTTGTTGCATGTATGGCAAAGTTTTCTCTCTCTCTCTCTCTCTCTCCAATCCTATTTTTACTACAGATTAAAATATTGGCACCCTTGGCTTTGTTCGGGTCGCTCACTGCCATTACTGCAGGCCAACAAACCACTATGTCCCCCAATGCGAAGCAAAGTTTGTTATTTTCTGATGTTTTATACTGTTGCTAGCTATACAATTCTATCAGTGTTGCTATGGTAACATGGTGATGGCATTATCTTGCTTTGTACTTGTTGCATTTACATACACTGTAGCTTATAAATAATTATTTCTGTACCATTGATTTCTATGTCATTTCTCTGTTTTCTCTATATGTTTGTTTAGTGGCGTCCCGATATATATTTAAGAAAAAAACTAATGGATTCCTGCGAGCCAATCAGAAACGAGTATTTACCATGGGTGTGGAATAAATCTGTATATTAATCATCATTTTTTTAAATAATATAGTAATACATCTTTTTTAAATAATCAGATTATAATAAAATAAATCATATTTTATTGAATATTTTTTTTAAATAAAATTTGTTTTTTTGCATTAAAACTCTCACCTGTCCAAATTTATCGAATTTAACAATTTGATATTATAATTTCTGTTAGATTTTAGTTGGTAAGATGTTATGTTTTGTGCCATTTTAGCACTTGTTGATAAAAATGGACTTTTTGGACAAACTGTAACTATAAGTCAAGGCACTATAGAGATTATATTAGACATCTGATTTTCAAAATTAAAATGAAAAATTAGTAGTAATCTTGAAACTATAAGAATGAAAGAACTGACTACAGAGAATTACTGCCAGTATTTATAAAAGTACTGTATATTTAATGAAATAACTAGCAATTACTACTTTGATAAAAGTAACCACATTTCTGAATCGTTAAATTATTCCCTTTGAGATCTTTTGTGTATTGAGACTCACGTTCTCCAGCACACTCCGGGTTTATTAGTGTTGGTGATGTTAAAAACCAAGCCAGTACGTTGTGCCTCTGCTGGACGAGCCAAACCAAAGAGCCATCGTGCAAAATTTCTGTTCTCTTATGATTTATTTGCCAGGCTGACAGAGTGGAAGGAAAGAAAGAAGGAAACATGAAATAGCGGGAAATGTTTAGCCCGAATGAAAAGGTCAGAGAAATAAATTGGTTCTTCGCCGAGTCCACAAACCCACAGTGCTTTTTCACTTCGCCTCAGGCATCGCTCCGTTTAAATACCTCATATAGTCGATTGCATACTCAAATACTGCAAATGTGTGTGGGGGTTTTTCAAGCTGGAAGGATGGAGTGGATTTGAAATGAGGATAATAATAATAATAATAATAATAATAATAATAATAATAATGATAATAATAATATGAAGAAGATGAAGAAGAATGTCCTGCATTTGGTTCCCCTTCTTGCTGGATATCCAAAGAACCAAACAGGGACATGTGGGCGGAGCTAGAAACAGTGCAGAGCGCTGATTGGTCAAATTGTCAAAAAAGTTGTTCTGATAATGTTATTTTGTCGAACATTTGCCGTAACTTCTTTATAGTCTGTGATTGTACATTTAGTTCGACTTTATATTTCTTTTGCCAGCCAATCAGAAATGAGTATATATTTAGATTCGTGCTAAAGGCAGTTTTTGGCAGTGGTTAAGGCATTGGTCTGGTATGTGGAAGGTCGTGTGTTCAAATCCCAGCACAGCTGTGTAAATGAGATGAATGTAAAATGTACCTTTCAGTGCTGTAGGTCGCTCTGGATAAAGGCACCTGCCAAAATGCTGTAGATTCAAAAGGGCTTCCTATTCGCTATGTACGTTCACTACAAAGGGTGTAGCATAATGGGATTGTAGACTGTACCCTGTGCACTGTGTGTCTGAAAGAACAGCATTTGATGCACAACCACAGAAAAGTTGCAGCCTTTTGTATTTTAATTTTGTCTGACAAAGAGTGCATTGAAGTTGTTGTTTTTTTAAAATAGGGATTAATGTATTGGCACCCTTGCCTTTAGGTTGTTGTATGAACACAGTTTAAGATTTAGACACAGAAATGGAGTGACTTGTGATTTTGCTGTATTCTTAGACCTCAAAGTATTAAAGATATTGGCATTAAAGACATTGACATAAAAGTGTTGGCTTGTTGTTTGGGTCGCTAGCTAATATTACCAAATGCCAACAAACTCAGTGTCCCACGCCATGCACGTTCAAATGTAAAGTAAGTTATGTGCTTTTAATTTAATTTAATTTATGAATTTTAAGTAGTATTTTATACATTGGTTTGTTCCATAATGAGTAGTAGTATTTGTGTTTAAGACTGAAGACTCAGTTGGATAAACAGTTAAATGAATAATTGTCACCGAAGTGCTTGCTGTGCGTGTAAACCTCGTTAACGCGATCCTCTTCATTCCAGCTTACAGAGGGCCGAACGGCAGATCTGCTGAAGATGGCGTTATCGGTGATGACGACGATGGCGAAGAGGCCACCAGTACGATAGATCCACGTTCCGGCAGCATCACTGAGAGATCAAACACCAGCAAGAGCGACAAATCGTCTCAGATCCTCTATCTGATCACGTCCAGTCCCAAAAAGTCGGAAAACGAAATGCCAGGTCAGTGGCTCGGCCGGGGCCGGACCGCTGCGCACAGCACCAGTATGTACACCTTATTCTCTGTCAGGGCTTCACAGTGACATGTCATTTTCACAGTAAGCAAGTGACAGAATGTGTAGCCTTTAATTCTCTGTGCGTTAATGCTGAGCGTGCATTTTGATGTTAAATTTCTGAAATTTTATTGCATTTTTGTTATTATGGTATTCAAATCCCATATATTTTATGCTAAATTGTCAGTTTATTAGTAACAGTAGAGCTAATAAACTTAACACACAATATAAATATATATCCATTTTTATTATTTCTATTCAATTCAGTCCAAAAAAATGAATACACTCACATTTCCCTTTACACTGACTACGTTTGTGGTAGCTGGAATAAACAAATTGGATTAGTATAGAGCTAACTGTTTGTATTATCTTTTTTATTACAATGACCATCTCTGACACAGAAAGAAGAATCTGCTGTAATAAATGTGTTGTGTTTACAGTGTGGACCATCTATGCGCTGGCTGCCTTGCTAACGCTAACCGTGATAGCCATGGTGGCAAAGCTAGTTCTTCACGTTACAGTAAAGTAAGTACTGAGCCTTGAACACTGTTCTTTTCTTGTGTTGTAATGCGTTTGGACTGTAAAATGTACATTAAAGCTGAAGTGAGACGTTCAGCCATTAGCGAATACAGCTAAGTGAAGAATGGAGTGTGTATTCTGTGTGTGAGGAGAGTGAGGAGTTTCACACACATTTATTGTTATCGTTTAATGACTAAGTCTTTACATTGTTTTTCTTTCTTTCTTTCTTTCTTTCTTTCTTTCTTTCTTTCTTTTCCTTCTTTGACTCTATCTATCTATCTATCTATCTATCTGTCTATCTCTCTATCTCTTAACTTTTGGTATTTACGCCAATTTCCCATCTCATTTCTTTCTTTCTTTCTTTCATTCTTTCTTTCTTTCTTACTTTCTTTCTCTCTCTCTCTCTCAGATCTCCCACCATTCCCTCGGTGAGCAGTTCAGACTCGTGCTCTCAGAGCACAACATCAGAACCGTGGATTATCTTCTACAGACCCTCCACCATTTCACTCTTTAAAAAGAAGCTCAAAAACCATCACGGAGACCTCAGCCCTCTGGTGGGCAACTAACCACCACACACACACACACACACACACACACACACACACACACACACACACACACACACACACACACAGTCACACAAACTCTACTGGACAGCAGGTAGCAAATACAGTGGAGCACCTGATGAGGAACTGGACATCAACTGACAGCCAATCAGATGGTGCCATGTTAGGGGCGTGGCTTCCACAGGACCATGATAAAGCCTCACTCACATGTCAATATGGCCTGAAGAGTTCTGGATTTCTCCCAGCAGGTTTTCAGGTGCGCGGATTCTGGCAGTCGCTGACAGACGAGGAGTTCAGATAAGAATCTCTTGTTAAAGAAAAAAGACAGAATGTACTGTAACATGGAGCGGCTCGCGTAACCATCTTAACGCCAATGCAGACAATCAGCCTTTTCTACCACACCAAAATTCTGTTTCCAGTCTGTTTTCGCCTCACGCTTTATGTAGGTCACCTCTTGTTTGGAACGGGATTACACTTTCTCCGGCGGAGGACGAACAGGATCATGATCCGGCAAATAATACAGCAACAAACAAAAGAGTGTGTGTGTGTGAGTGTGTGTGTGTAAATCTGCCATCGCCATAGCTCGGGCCGCGCTCCAAACAAACTGGCATTCCACGTTCCTTCTGGACCTCTGTAAACAGCTTTTCAGTATTTTTTTTTTTTTCTTCATTTGTTGTGGGTTTTTCATCTTTGTGTTTTTTTTTGTGTGTCTGGTGTCTGTAAGTGCCTTAAGGGTTGGAAAACTGTTTGTGTGTACAATTTTTTTTCTTTACTTCCCACAGAGCTGTCTTTAAAGGCACAGAGATGAAAGATACACAAGTTTCCCATTACCATGGATGCAGTCGATCAGCCAAGACATGTTTGTTGCCTGAAGTTTGCTTCTTTAGTTTTTGCATTGAGCTATGAGATTAATGCTAGTTTAGCATCAGCGTTTCAAGCAGGCATGTTTATGTGGTTTTTGACACTTTATGACAAACGGATATCTGTAAAAAAAAAAAAAATGGATGTTTCAAAAGAACATCACGATGCTGAAAACAATCTACAGAAGTTTACATTACTCTGTGTGGAACTAAAGATCCCATAGACATTTGGTTAGCGGTTGATGCTGAGTGACAATTTACACAGTAAATTTAGACTTTTCCTGGAAATTTATCAACACATCTGAGGCAAAAGTTGTTATTCCCAACATTTTTGTCTCCTTTTCACTGCCATTACACCTTTACAATACCTCTATAAAAGACTATGAATGGCTATATGCTAGATAGATAAATGATTAGCCTCAGTTGCTAGCTAGCTTCTATGCTTTTTGCGCATATTTCCAAGTTGCCTAGCAACAGTGTTCTCACAACTTGAACACAGAACATATAATGTGTTTTACTGATTTTATTAATGTACAAATTATATCACTTGGCCAAAGATTAACTTGCACAATGCTAAACTGGTAGTTTTGAGCGTAGTTGTTATGAAATGTTGAAATGTTCTGATAGCTCTGAGTTCACTGAGTTCAAGTTGTGACACAGCGTATCGAACTTCCGAACTCACGAATGTTTGGTTAGCGGTTGATGCTAAGTGACATTACATTGTCATTTTTGTTATACATAGTCTTTGCTTAGTAATTTATCAACATATCTGAGGTAAATGGTGATATTCATACTCATTTTCATTGTCAGAACACCTTTAAAATGACTTATAGGCTTACACGGCTTATATGGTGTGCATGGTTCCCAGTTGCCTAGCAACAGTGTCCCACAAATATAACCACTTAAACAGTGAACATATCACATGCTTGTCTTCCCATGACATTTCTGACAGCTACAAGTTGTGACACGATGTTTACAGTTCTCGGTGTTGATGCTAATTAGTGTAATTTTAGTAATATTGAGTCTTTTCCTGGTAATTTACCAAAACATCTGAGGTAAATGTTGATATTCCAGACATTTTTGTCTCATTTCCAGAAAAGACTACTTAGCTATATGCTAGCTGTATAAATGATTAGCCTGTCATTAACTAGCTTCAATGTTTGGCGAAAGTCTTGTAGCTGCAGTGCAAAAGTAAAGAACTTAAGACAGTACACACGTCTTGGCTAATCGACTACAAACAGGGACATTGTATAAATTTCATTTCTGACCAAGTGTTTTCAGCTTTGTCGCTTCACTGAGTCGCTGCTAAGAGCTTGTGTGTAGGAGCGATGAAAAGCGGCGCATTCTTCCAAAACAATTCTCTCTTTCTCCTCCTCCTCCTCCTTCTCTTCCGCAGGCTCTCTGACGTTACAGCGCTTCTCGCATTCTTCAGATTTATTAGAATCAGTACTGTTGTTCTTGTGTTAACTACAGTGCTGCCACCCGGAGTGTCGGGGTCACGACACAAATTTCTGTCTAGTCATGTTAAATATTCTGAATATGAGCAACAGGGTGAAAGAACGACAGCGAAACAGTCATGACTGCATCCAAAACCGCATACTACTGTACTAAATAATGTCACAAAATGTGGTTTCTGCCATTGTGAGTTGAGGGTACTGACATTTTATAAGCAGTGTCATTGTGCTGAACGCTATTTCAATTATTTATTTTCCTGTAAACCGAATAGTTTGGATAGCTTAAAGATAGTAATATTGATAACACGAATTCTGTGTTTTGAAGTATCTCCACCAACAAAAAATTAGTAAACTTTATAACAATTTCTATACTTTCCGAGCTTGAAGTTTTAACAAAAACTGCTTACGATTAAGCTATAGACACAAGTGAACACTACAGAAATTTAAAGTTATGTTACCGCATGTACTTTTACGTAACCTGGTCGTTCTGATGCATCAGGACTCTTTGATAGAAAACATTATGAAATTTGAGTTGGTTTCGATTTATATGCTAATAATGTTAACACTGACCAACCTGATATTGTGTAAATTTGCCCGAATTAGAACGAGTGTGGTTTGATTTCATACAAATTAAGTCGCAAGATAAGGTACAA